ATTCTGGATATAAGTCCCTTATCTGATATGTTATAACAAACAAGCTCTTTATAGAGTGTCTTTATCAAACCAGCTCTGGTGGCCTAGTGTGTAAAGAGCTGCATTATTAGCGCAGAGGCACTTGGATCAAATCCACCAGCTTCTCCAAGGGAAAAAGCTAGATAAGGATGTGCTTTGCTCTAATAGATTGGGTTCTTCTCTTGGGCCTTCTACAGTTTCAGGGAAAGTAAAATGACCTTTGGGGCTAAACAATTGATTTTGGTCAGCTCTGGCTTCAATTTAATAACAAGATTATATCAAGAATGGAAATAAAATAACAAAATGGCAGTGGTTCTTTCTTGGAGAATATGTTACTCATGTTCTATAGTTATTTAAATCATTTAATACATCAGAATCTGTTTCCAAAGTTATTTCTTTCTACCTCCATTGCTTCTGGCAATGACATTGCCTTTTCTTCCAAGCTTACACACCTTGCCGTGCACTTCCTTCCATGCTCTGCCAGTCACCTTGGGCAGTGAACAGCCTCCTCCTCCCTTTCATGACAAGAGACCCATCTGTGTGAGTTAGACTGCCCTGCAGCTATCCTCATGTAGACGTGACTTCACACCTTTGCTTCTCTGACCTTCAGATGGTTCTTCCTGTCTGTTTCTCTCCTCACACATTACTCATTCATTCTTACCACTCCAGGTGCTGCTGCCGTCTCTTTGTGCTGGAGTAGAAGTCAGAACTGGTGACTTTGTTAGGAATAATGGTCTCCCAGGGCACTGTTTGCATCTTGGTGGGATAATTATCAGAGAGCCATTGTACATAGTTAACACAGCTGACCATCCAACCACTTGGGGTCAACTCAGTTTAAATGCATGAAATTCCCAGCCAGATGTGGATCTTTGATAGCTATGATTTTTTAGAATAACCAGGACTTTCTTCTGAGGCATCTTTGGTTGAATTTGAAATTTTCCTCACCATTGCTTTCTAAATAACAATACCCCCGACCCTTACCGAATCATTCATTTTATGGATCAGAACTATGCCCCAAACTTCTAAGTATCTCCTATAGGATGGGCACCTTCTCATTTGAGAATTGCTTTTCAAACTGTGACTGACCTGAGATGTCAAGTGTTTTCTATGAGAGGCTTATTTGTTGAACTTGTGTTTTGTTTTGATGCTCTTCTTATAATTGTGTTTAGCTACCTTCCAAATCCCCTGGATACCCACTTGGATATCAGAGCAGCAACATGAGTGTCAGGGTCTCTTGCATTGACTAACGTGTAATCTCCTAGAACATCTGCACGTCATAATCAGTGCCAAGTTCTTGACCCAAATGTGCCAGTTATTACGTTTAAGAAATGTAGGTCTATCCAGGGCCCTCCTTCTGGTTACACAAGTCCTTCACAGCATAAGTTTAGTGGGCAGGGCCACGCTAATTCTCAAACAGATTCTGCTCACCGTGACTTGCACCATCAGGGTTGTGCTCACCCAGAAAGTTTCTTCTGTCAAATTCTGCCAAAAGTGGCTTACAAATTTGCAGTGTTTCTGAGCATATATTGTTTCAAAATTAATTATTTGGAAAGAATGTTTCTATATAATGCCTGTCTTCTCATGGGAATTAAGTCCCAACTCTTCACTCTAAGCATAGTTTTCTGACCATTGTGTTGGCTCCATCCCTATTCATATTTTGCATCTTAGCAAAGCTGGATCATAGTCTGGTCCCCCAATACACCATGTATTTTTCTAGCCTTTCACCAGCAAGAGCACACTACCATCACCTGTCACTGCTTGGTGCACAGTAGTGGTGCTTGAATAATGATGTTGTTGTTATGTGCCATCAAGTCACTTGGGACTCATAGCAACCCTATGTGCAACAGCCCTAAACTCTGCTCTATCCTGTGCCAGTCACAATGCCTCCGATACACCCATCCTGATTAGCCCAGTCCCTGAATCAGTTCACTTCATAGAGGGCCTTCCCCTCCTGTGCTGTCCCTTCACCCTCCCAAGCATGATG